CCGGCCCTTCAACAGGAACTGTATTGCTGCTGTGGCCCCTGGTGCAAATGAGTTTGACACCCCAGCTCTAATGTGTCCGTTGTTCACTATACTGTAGGCGCAACACGTCTTTGACCTTTCTCTTTTCCCGTTCCACCAGGAGCTGTCGTCCGACATGGTACGGCGGGAGCAACAGCAGCTCAGAATGCTGGAACAGTTGAGGGAGATGCAGGTATTTGTGGTTTAAAAGTCCACCCTACAATTAAAAGATCACACGGCAAAGACTGCGCACATGCTTAATTCATACGCACTCCTTAGAGCCGAGGGCAGGAAGAACGGAAGCACATGGAGTCATTAGTCCAGGAGAGTTCGAGGAGCAGGGATGAATTGAAGATCAGGGCCCAGGAGGCTGTGCACCAGTGGAGGGCAAAGTGCAAGAGAATGCAGAAGGAGCTGGAGGAGGCAAAGTCACACGTTCAGTTCCATACAGAAAAGGCTCACCAGGTATGTTGAGATGGACAGAAGGAATAATCTAAGGCATTTACATAAGTAATTTATATTATATGATACATTTTACTGACTTAAATACAAAATAAAAGGAAACTTTTTTAGTAGTAGTGACACGCAGAGGGTTTGGGGACCACTGATCTATGGACCACCTAGCTAGATTTGCAGTTAAAGTTTAATATATTTAATTCATATTCTATACACATTACATATACTAACTGTTTTTCTGTCGTCAGTATTCGTGATACAGGTTGTTCTAGAATTCACACTATGTACATTTTCTGAACGTATCTGTTTCACCTCAGTTGTCGACGTATGCAAAATCCACACTGTTTGGGAATTGATATGAATTTTCTCAATAGGAAGCCGTTTTCTTTTCATTTACACAGATTTCCTGGTATTTCGTAGATGATTGTCTTACAGAATATTAGTGTGAATTTCTCCGACACGCACATCTGGTACAGCGTGACCATGAGCTTATGCCTCCGACACGCACATCTGGTATTTCAGCGTGACCATGAGCTTATTTTTTTTAAAAACAGGAAACTTGTTTTATAGGCAGAATGTGTGGGTTGTAAAAACATATACTTTAACGTTAATGTTACAGTATCTTGATCAAACACTGGGTAAAGGAGGCTACAGCACTCTGAGCTGTCCATGGTGCTGAAAAGTCATTTGGACTGTATGGCATTATGTAAAATACACTTGTCATTCGCTACAATAGAGAAGCTGCATGATTTTGATGGGTTTGCAAATCAAAGTCTCAACACTCAGTGAAACCGTTGTTCTACAAAATAAATGTGAGAATTAGTTTTCTCTGTAACAAAGGCCGCCACGTGCAGAGCTTTGTTGTCGGGGCACTTTGTTTTGTTTGGACATTCGACGGGTCCCATGGCAACACTCCACGCAGTCATTTTCGAGCAGTCAAACCTATTCAAATCTACTGTGTATTTTACTCACTGTTACCATTAACGGTACAGTAAACTAATAATAGGTAATCCCTATCAAATACCGCACCCAGCAGTGAGTGAATGTAAGTGTTAAAAAGCCAATAAATAATATTTTGCTGAAAATATAAAACAAACCCCCAGGAGAAGTAAAAAAAATTGAATATAGTTTAAAACCTGGAAATATCTATTATACTGTTACTGAGTATATCTGCTACAGCGGATGTGCCAAGGTGAGTGTTTGATTGTTCTTATTAGCTTGAAAGTCACCTGCAACCGATTTTCAACCCTTTTCGGCTGACTGAGTCGCCCCTGAAGTCACAGCCGACAGCCTTACGCCTCGCTGGGAGACAGATGTACAGAATTCCACCTGGCTTGCTCATCGTGACCTGAATTAATTACTGAATAATGTCCATCCCCCTAATGAATTAGAGAAGGGAATCAAGTACTCAATTAAATGATTAGGTTCTGAGCTCAAGCGAAGTCTTCGCAAATTCCATTTTAAGCCGGTGTATTAGAGAAATCTGCTTGGAACAGACCTGACCATTGTCCCTTATCGGGGAGCTGAGCCTCTTCCTATCGGCACAAGAGCTGGTACTGCATATGTTCCTCTCACTCTGTCTTTCTGTCACTCTTTTACTGACTCTCGTCATTTTTATTAGAGCTCATCTCCGTACACCATCCCCCTCCACCCTTCATTTGTCTTTTTAAATTTTTTTTTTATTTCTCTCATCTCTATTATTCCTCCCCCGCTCATGTGCTTTTTCTTTCTCCCTTCAGGCAACGAGGGAAAAGGAGAGCTCACAGGCCCAGCTAAAGGTGCTGAGCCAGCAGACTGAGGCAGCCCGCAAGGAGCTTCCTGAAATCCTGGGCCGTTTGGCCCACCGGGAGGAAGAACTGCATCGCAAGGACGTGGCCCTGTCCGAGGCCCGCCAGCGGCAGTTTTCACTGGAGCAGGAAATTCAGGAGGTTTGGGAATGAAATATGTTTCCCTATTAGGTCTCCTATATCAAAGTATAATTCACTTATACTTAAGTGTGTGTTTTTACCTTTTTTTAAAATTATGTTTGAAGTCCAGTCCTTCAATTAAATACTTAAGCGTGCTATATTAAAGAGACCCATGTAGTAAATAGTTTGTCTGTTGAGTCTCATCCAGTTGCCTTGTATCTAAATATTCTTCTAAACCCAGGTAAGACAGACTTTAATTGGTCTGGAGGAACAGACTCAGTGCCAGGCCGCCGTCCAGGCAAAACTGAGAGAAGAAAACCACAGGCTGGAAGAGCAGGCCAACATCCAAGCGCGTCGTAATCAAAGAGAGCAGGACGCACATGCCGAGCTCCAGGCGTCTTTGAAGCGGATGACCACGGCCCATGCACAGCTAGCTCAGCGTCTCGCTGAAGAGGAGAGCTCCAGGAAGGAGCTCCAGAAAGGTGCCTCTGAACTACAGTCGAAGCTGGCGACGACGCAAGAGGAGCAGACGGCACTTCGGCAACAGCTGCAGCTGGAGAGGGACGTGCATCAGAAGGAATTGGAAAACATGAAGGCGGTGATGGAAGACGGCGTTCTGAAGAAAGATCGTGAAATGCAGCTGCACCTGATGGAGCTGAAGGTAAGTCTTTTTTTTTATGTGTTCTATCATTGTCTAAAGCTCCAGTGAGTGAACCGCTATAAGAAGAATTTAACTTTTTGGAAAGATTTCAAAACAAAGCCATTGATCTCAGAGTTTGAAGTTCAGTTGTTTATATCACACGAGTATTATCTGGCACGTTTTTTTGTCTTGGTGAGGCAGAGACAGTTCCTATATGGAGTGACTCCATCGCCGTGGTACAAATGAATTGAGGAGAGCGGAGCTTTTATTAGTCTTTGGTGCCCTGTGGATCCTCGCACCATCCCAAAGCTCAAACCATGAATACTTAAAAACCTGATATCAGACCTCAGAGCTCTTTATCGTGGCAGTGATGGAGATGGAAAAGCTTCTCTAAAAATACTCCGTTATCGTCCCACTCCCCGGATGTGTCCTCATGGGGACAGTTTTGCTTAAAGGACGGAGGAAGTCTCTTATGTGGTCAGATGTAGCCCATCAGTTCTACCAGGTAGCGTTATTAACTGACACAACGCCTAATAAAGTGGTTTCTGGTCGCAGCACGGACAGGGACATTTGAAAAGAGGACGTGAGAGCCAGTATTTGAAAGGCGACACCCAGCCCTTCTGGAAATGTATCTTATTTATTAAGGACAGAGCTGGACACGTCTACTAACTAGTGTGAACTTTGTTCCTGACACTTTATAGTTTGTCTGACTGTCCTTTATGGTCTTAGTTTTTGTTCAGATTTTGCATTTTTATTTTTCTCATTTTTTTTCTCTCTCTCTCTCTCACTCCAATCAATCCTGATTTTTATTTTCTTCCCTCTCTCTCACTCCTCATACTCCGACCACTCATTCATCGTTGTTTATTTCACATTCGTCTCTTTTTATGCTGTGTATGAAAATGTTCTTATTGCAGTCAGAGAGATTTAATACTGGAGCTGAAGCCTTCACAGCAGGCGTAAAAATACACCCAGGAGTTGATTTAAAAAGGTTCAGTGAAGCTTCTACACAGCTCACAATGAAATAGCTCCACATGACTTCTGTGTGTATTTTCCTTGTACTTAACAAACATACAGGACTCGTGCGGAGCAAAATAAGAACCTGTTGTGATTGGTGGTTTTTTTTTTGTTTTTTTTGTTTTGTTTTTTTGCATGATGGCCATTCCGCAACTGTGTGTTCCACCAGGCGGACGCAGCCTCAGACAAGGAGCTGTGTGGGATTCTCCGCCTCAAGCTGGACAGGATGAAGGATGAGTGTGATAAGCTGGCAACCCAGCTGAGCGCAAAGGATGAAGCACAGGAAGTCTTACAGAGAAAGTACCATCTCCTCAAACAGAAGCTGGATGACAAAGTAAGACGGAGGCAAAATGCTGAACCATACATTTGTCAGAATCAGACAAAACCTAAAGCGATAAATTTGTAAAAATCCAGCGACACTATCAAGATAGCCAAGTGAAAGGTTTTAAAATATATATTTTTTATTTATTGCAAATATTTATTTTTGTTTGTCAGTGTCAGGCAGAGCAACTAAATTCTCTTCCACTAGGTGGCAGCAGATAATTATTATTAAAACTAAGAAAAGATCATCAGAGCTGTTAAAGGAAGATCTTTGTGTGTGTCTTTCTTCAATTCCTGCCACTATGTGAGCGTGGTCTTCAACTAAACAGGAGTAGATTTTTAGTCAATTTAAACTAGAATATTATTATATTTCATTATACTGTATATACTTTTTGTGAGATTTTTGTTTGGTGGTGTGGCTCAAAGAATTTGGGAAACGCTGGTTTAGATGGCTAATTGGTCCTGAGTTGGATTAATCCTTACAGGGGAGTTTTATAACTACAGATAAGTCTCAGGTCTCTGAGAATGTTTGGGGGTTTGGGGAAATCCATGTGTTGTGAAGAAAAGGGGGACATTTATTAATTTAATGTGGGTGGTTTATACTCCCTGGGACAGGATAACGATCCAGGGTCTCTGGGCAGCTCTGATCAGATGACTTCTGTGCCTTTGACGTATTGATCTACAGCGTCCCGAAGCTAATGGGGAAAAAATGAAGGAAAAAACTGAACAAGATGTGTTTGTGTGGGGGGTGAGGGTTGGCGAAAAGTTTCATTCCTTTTTTGTTAGTATAGTAGAAACTGTAGTGTCAGGAAATATCCCAAAAAAATATTTCTTAAATATTTCCGACCAGTTTTTGGGTTAGAAAGTTTTGCCTTGTTTGTGTCCCCTGAGACTCACACACTGCTCTCTGCCGTATTGTACAGATCAAGTCAGATGAACGGAGATGTGATTTAGAATCAGAGCTGCAGGAGAAGTTGTTACGGATGGAGGCAGAACAAGAAGCAATCCTTTCCTCCGTTGGTGAGGAACTAGACGCTGCCTGCCGAAGTCTGGACAGAAATGGTGAAGGTCACCTCAAGGTATTTACTGTCAAGACATTTTAGTTTTTGTTCAATTATTTATGTTAGGATAACTAGTCTTTTTCTTTCCCCCATTGTGCTGACGTTATAAATTCTGTGAAAACAAATAAATTTTATGTTCATTATTTGTAGTGCAGTTAAGAAAAAACATGTCATAATATTAACATAAAATCAGGTTTTAAATACAAAGAAAAATATTTCACTCAGTACATATTTTTAAAACAGCATAATAGCAGAAAAATATATACGTAAGTAGTAATAATAAATAAAAAAAACAGTTATAAAAATATGAAGCTTCAAGTCCCTGTCAAAGTATTAGTGGCTGCAGAAATATGTTTAAAAGACAATTTAGAAAAAATAAAAATGTTATAAACATAAACAGGGCTTTCACATGAACATGAAGCGTCTTCATAAAACTAACAATTCCCAAATTTGTTTGCCAGTGAAGCCTGTCAGTCATGTGGTTGACAATGGTTCTGTCTGAGAAAGGTGGGTGGAGCACACACACACACATGTGTGTTTATGTGTGCTGTGGTGTGGACCTGGAGGAGGGAGCATGATCTGCTGTGGATATTATGAGTTGTTTTGCTTGTTGACGAGGAACGCTGCAGTATTAGTTACTGATTGGACGCTCATATTCTGATAATTCCCCTTTGATGTTTCATTGGCCGACGTCAGTTAGTCAACCGCTACACGTCTTTACCTTTAGAAAGAAAAAACAAAAAAAACTCCCAGGTATGACCCACGTAACAGAACTAAACGGCCACTTTTGGGGCGTGTGCCCCACAGCTTTGGTCCAGATACCAACTGTTACTGTGGTTTATTTACTGCCAGTACCTCAATACTGGCTGTGAGTATTTTAAGCTCTTTATTTCGGCACAGGTTCTGTCTCTGCTTTCCCAAACACACACACCTACGCCAGGAACTCTGTCCCTACACACACACACACACACACACGTACCTCAGTGTTTACTGTAAGGAAGCCAAGGCACCATTGTTAAAAATAACAAATTGTGTTGTCTTGGTAATGAATATGTTTAACCTTCTGAAACGAGTCTTTTCTTAGACTTTCAATCATTCAAAAAAGTGAAATCAACTCACAGCTTCATGGCTGCTGTCAGGTTTTTTTTGTCACACAGTCCATATATTATTCATTATTTTAAAGATCTATATTCTGTCAATCAATTATTTTTGTCTCTAAAAATATATGTAACCTTAATTAAATATTATTATTAATTAGCGCGTCATTGGTTTTTTTATGTTTACTTGCGACACGTGTGCCGGTTCTCCTCCGCTGCCTCAGGTTAATGAAGCCAGGCAGTTCTTATCTGCTCCTATGGATTTCCCTAATCTGGTGCAGACGTGCAAACAGCCGGGAGATGCGATCCTACAGCGTAGCTAATCTTTAATCTGTCGCGTTGAGAATAAGTCAAACCTGTTAGCGACCGGTCTATTGGGTGAGATCACTAACCGCTAAGGGCCGTATTAGGTTTCAATTATCCCGTGATCCTCCACTTCCTTATTCCTCAGTGAAGGCAGTTAAATGTAAGTCGGGAGTTTTTGGAAAACAATCAATGAACGTCACATAAGGGAGAGAGAAAGAGAGAGAGAGGGTGAAAATGGAATGTAGGAATATCTACGGTTGTCAGAATTAACATGCTAATTACACTAATTCATTTGAAAGGCACAATGTCTCCGTACACCCAGTAATTACGGCCACATCTGCCTTGTAATTATTGGTTATTATTGAGCCTGTGGCCCAGTGGGAGAGCAGTGGGTTTGTCAAAGGATCAACGTTCGAATTCCAACTTGGCTGGTTCTCCTGAGCAAGCACCAGTTCCTTTGCTCTGTCTGTGTACTACCTCGAAAATGAAGTCACAGCTTTGGGAAATAAACTTGTGACTCGCCAGCGATTTGTCATCTTACCGTGTTTACTTCCTGTTTGGACTCCTCTGTCTGGCCATCATTTGAAATTGTTTGATGAAGTGAAATACCAAGGTGGAAATCTGTATAAAGACACCCTCCTCCCCCCAAACCCCCACTCCCTGTGTTTCTGGCTCCCGCTGTTAGCCGTTACATCTCTGCGACTCTGCTGTCGGTTCCATTTTCACAGCAGTAGGTGAAACAAACAAACAAACTGTAAGCAGAAAACACGCTGTCACAGATGCACCGCCGCTCTGAGACATGCGCAGCGCGCAGTCACACATTCAAATTAGTCACGGCAGACAAAAGAATCTCCATGGCAGCGCTGCTGAGATAATCGTGCCACTTCTTTTACCTCGGCCTCACGGAGAAACACTTAGAGCCCGACATTGTACCCGTTATATTTTTCAACAGATTCACCTCCTTTTCATCTGCCTCTCTGATTGTCACAGGGAACAGGCGTTTTTTATCGTCCCACACAATATCACATTCTGCCAGGAAGTGGCTTTTCATTCTCAGAGACGGGAATTACTGCGCAGCGGTTTCTCGTTGCCGTACTTCCGTGCTGCCTTGGCAACAGCTGGGGAAATTCATTTTGTTCAGAGCAGGATTTGAGTGATGGGTTGGAAAAAGTAGCCTGACACCGTTTGCAGAGATGATGTTTGACATGGCGTGGCAGAGAACGGGCGGAGAAAAAAACGTTTGCCTTTTGCTTTTCCGGGTCTGTCGATAAGACACAAACACCTTGCCACGAAGATTTACTAGAAAAATCCATTATAGTTTTTCCTTTTACTTTGTTCAATATTGTGCAATTCTGTGCATGTGAATGTATGTCTGTTTGAGTTTCTCCTGACTTTTCATGGAGCACCACTGTTTGAGCAGATTTGTTTTTTCACTTACCCTGTAAAAACACCTCAGCGCGAAGCAGATAGATTGGTACAGAATTTTGTTGACATTTCCGAATGACGAATCCTGAATGGCTTTTTTTTTATGCCTTTTGCCCTTATGAGTGTGACATATGTCTTTCTGATAATAAAAAAAGCTCCAAACTTTTGATGGATTGCCATTTAATTTAGTCCAGACATCCATGTTTCCACCAGGAATGGAGTTTTAACAGTTCTGCTTTTTACCTTTAAAATATAGAAATGACTTTGGTGGTATATATATATATATATATATATTATATAAAACCAGAAAGTGTAGTTTTAAATACAGGTGGTCGTAGTTAAGTTGAAACAAAAACTTACAATTCCTACTCAAAACTTTTTTCAAATATTGTTTGTTTGGTTGTTTCTGTGAAAGGGAAAGACATTTTTCTCCGTCGTCGTCAAATCCAGTGTCCTAAGTCAAAGCACAGTATCACATTTTAGCCCCTTTTTCTTTAGATCTCAAATTTATGGATTTGTTACTTTAACTGGACTTCCTGGATCTGATTACATGTCTCATTGGTACCTGAGGCCCTGAACCACCTCACCCCCCAAACACAGCCCCCTCACCAGACTGCATCGGGTCTATAGGCAAAGAAATCAATGATCTTCTATTATTAGCCATATCAGGCAACAGAAAAGTAAAGAAAAGCTTTTTCCTGTTTCTGGAAAAAAAAAAAAATTGTCACGTCTGGGTGTCCTTTTCATTAAGACACATTATACCGCCTACGACCACAATATCCTTTGGGACATGTCATATCCTTGGCTGGGTTTCCTGTTTGTGTGTGCACTAACACTGTCTAATACACACCTGATAAATGTATTTGATACGTGATGTAGATAAAACGAGATGGAAGGTTCTGCAGGAAAGGGTTGTCAGGAATGGAAAAAACTTGATAATCAAGGCTTGACACAACGTTCAAATCTTTGAAAAAAAAAAACTGCTTCCTTTCTTCAAAGGTGAGCTCATAAATTGTCATTGAGTCTTTGCTCTTAATGTGTGTATCTGCGAGGGCCCCTCATCTGTAGGAGTGTGTGTGTGTGTGTGTCAAGAGTCATTAGGAATTGGTAGGCAGTCAGATTCTCTTACTGATACTGACAAGCGTGCCTGAGAGGAATTGAACCTGCTTCCTGAGCTCATTTGTGTACATGTGAGTGTCTGTGTGCGAGGCTGTTGTCGTCTGCTGTTCCACACCCACACGCGCAATTTAAATTGGCAAAAGTCGTCTCTCACAAAAGTGTCAGCGTTTGACAGGACGCTGTTGTGCGGAGGCACAATCCGCATTTGAAATAACTAGCTTTTCTACTTAATTTTTTTTTTTTTTTTTTGCACCAATTTACCTGCATTAACTAATCATATTCAGGTCCTGTCCTATATTTTTCTTCTGGTTTTCAGACACAGCTCTGTAACAGCGTTGCAATTTGTGTGGTGTGCTAATGAAGTCGGGAAATATCACATTTGCATTCATTGTTTTTCTGCATTGTTTTAACAGGGAATCTCACAAAAACCTGGATTGGTCAAAGACCCCCATCGCTGGTTCACGGAGACAAAGGTAAAACCCCATGATGCAGTTCTTCTACACTAAGACGTGCCAAAAAGTGCGTAAAATAAATATAATAATATTCTAGTTTAAATTGCCAACTAGTTCACAAAATCTCACAAAAAGTATGTGTAATAAATATAATAATATTCTAGTTTAAATTGGCTAAAAATGTACTCCTGTTAAGTTGAAGACAATGCTAATATACTGGCAGGAATTGAAGAAAGACACAAAGATCTTCTTCAACCGCTCTGATAATCTTTTCTTAGTTTTAATAAGCATTTGCTGCCACCTAGTGGAACAGGATTTCATTGCTCTTTGACAAACAAATTTTATTATTAATCACTGGTGTAGTGAGTGACATAGGTACTTACGTACAGTTTGTAGTGAGTGACATAGGTACTTACGCACAGTAGGTAAGATCCAAAAATCGAGTTACGTCACACTGTAGGAACGGAACGCTGACCTGTTGAGGACCCCTGCACTCAGAAAATTCAGGAATACATTCAGGAATGTATGTAAATCTTAAGGAAACTTAGTCTGCAGTGATTACAATAAAAGATAAGATAAAATTCTCTCCAATTTTCTGTTCCAGTTGACGTCTGTTCCTGGCAGCCGTACTGTAATGCCGAGCTCGATACCCTTCATTTTGAGACCTTGGAAAATCTGCCGAAGGATTAACTGCGTCTCTGCTTTAATGTAGTATTTTGTCATTTGGCTTCAGTGCAGGAGAAATCAGGTCGTTCTCTGGAGTCGTAACACGCAGGAGAAATACAGTATATAATTGTGACAGCGGTGATGATGCATGCTTCTGTGTTACGGTTTGTTTTGCCCAGCGTTTGTGTTTGCTCCATTCATAGTGTTTGTGACTACAATGTATACGTAGCTCCTGTCAGCAGCGCTCCACATCTGCAGACAAACAGGAGAGATAATTAGCTTACAGGCTGCATGGGAGTTAGTGTCTGCGAAATGTTTGTTTTTTTCAGAGTAAAAATTGGGGGAAAAAAAACTCAGGGTCAGCGGTTCAAGTTGCGGTTAGGTACATATTGTCACTTCGGCTGTGCAACAGGCGTCCTTAACGTGGCTGTGTGGGTTTACTGTCCTCTGGAACGGCTGTATGGGAACAGTAAAAAAACAGCAACAGTAAAATGTGAGTGCCTCATTACTGTCCTGTGTCTGACAGTTGTGGGGACTTTTGTGAGGTTGTTTGCATTGAATAAATTGCAGGGTTTTTTTAAAAAAAATCTTGTAGGAAAAAAAAAAGTCCAACTTTTTTTTTCTTTTTTTTTTTTTTTTTCCATTCATAGTGTTTGTGACTACAATGTATACGTAGCTCCTGTCAGCAGCGCTCCACATCTGCAGACAAACAGGAGAGATAATTAGCTTACAGGCTGCATGGGAGTTAGTGTCTGCGAAATGTTTGTTTTTTTCAGAGTAAAAATTGGGGGAAAAAAAACTCAGGGTCAGCGGTTCAAGTTGCGGTTAGGTACATATTGTCACTTCGGCTGTGCAACAGGCGTCCTTAACGTGGCTGTGTGGGTTTACTGTCCTCTGGAACGGCTGTATGGGAACAGTAAAAAAACAGCAACAGTAAAATGTGAGTGCCTCATTACTGTCCTGTGTCTGACAGTTGTGGGGACTTTTGTGAGGTTGTTTGCATTGAATAAATTGCAGGCATTCTTATAACATTTTGAAGAAAAAATAAAAAAGTCCAACTTTTTTTTCTTTTCTTTTTCTTTTTTTTTTACTTTTTAACTAAACCAATACAAAACATTCTGACCGTGTGTCACCTCCAAACAAAACCAGACGAAGCTGCGGTGGTTGTGTGAGGAGGTGAGGGCCTGTGTGACCAAAGAACAACGCCTGAGGAAGCAGCATCAACAAGCCCGGGATCAGATCAAGACCCTGAGGCAGAGCCGGGACTCGGAGCACGTGGTTCTCCTGCAGCGCCTGGACGAGCAAGAGGAACTGCTGCGTTCCCTCAACACAGAAAAGAAAGGTAAATAAAAACAGAACAACACACACACACACACACACGTCATTATGGTCATGCGCAGGAAATAGACACGGGTTCTCGTACTGTCGATGCTACAGTATGACATCAGAGCTGTACTGTAAATTAAGTAAAAAAAAAATTTAAAAAATATTTTAGATTGAAAATACCCTAAAGTTTCAAGTCATTTCTCACTGAGATCAGTATTTTATTTCCTACAAATACTCGAAGGCTTTGTATGGCGTGCTTCTTCTGATGTATTTTGATGCCTAACATCATCAGCGTGTTTATGAAAACAAACGTTTCAAGAGCCTCTCCGTGTGTGCTCGTCTTTGACATGTGCACGGAAAATAGACTTTTGTTTTCCCGACACACTCCCGATTGTCTTTAATGAGCGCCGAGCCGGAGGAGGAGGAGTGACTTTGTTTTTGAACGTGGCTTCGTGACAGTGCAGTGAAATGGTGGCTTATTTGTGAACATTGATGAAAAGAAAGAGATGAAAGAGACGGCGAAACAATAGGCAGAGTCCCAAGCTGGGTGGGAGATGGGAGACCTCAAAAAGACCAGACAACGCTTGTTATTTGACTGTTTATTTTTGTGAAGGTAAGCAAGAGATGCACTGTTGAAGCAAGCAGCTTTTTATTTGACTTTGTGAGCCATTCATTAAAAGTTGACGTGATTTTTTTTTTTGTGTTGGAGACGACCTGGTATTTCACACACGCGTGTGTCACAACAGCTACAATTATGGTATTAGAATAAGAGACGTGAAAATGACAAACACAGACTGGTTGTGGGGCTAAAATGATGCAGCGGTGGTGCAGTGTGATTACTAGGTTTAGTCGTCGCTCTTACTTTATGTTTTCTACCTGGGAATGGTAATTTCATCAGATGCGTTTCTCGTGTACCTGCCAACTGTTAATGGCTGCGCTCTGCAGGACCTTGGTGTGACCTACTGTAATAGGCTCACTTTGAAATATTAATAGTCCTTCAGACTTTCAGGTTGGCGTCGCCCTCTCCACGGCCGCGTCGCAGCACGTGAGATGTGAATGGGACGAGTCAGACAGCCGTGCTTTTTGTAAAAGTTTCCAAAAAGGTTGGGAACAAAATATTAGGATAGTATTTATTTAGGAGTTGTTTTGTTAGCCTCGTTTTACCTAAGATAAAACACCGTCTACATTGAATCTAAGCCAAGGGAAGAAAAAAATGAACGGCCCTACTTTTACCCGTCTCATTGATCATGACTGGGGTTGTGTTGTCCTGTGGGCCTCTGTCCTACTTTTTGTTCAATCTCAGGTTTATATAGTTGTAGACTAAGCGGACATGTATCCAACTAAACGATGATGACCTACGGTCTGAGACACTGGATAATAACATGTATCCAACTAAACGATGATGCCGTGGCTGAATCTGACCTACGGTCTGAGACACTGGATAATAAGAGGAACGACACACAGAAATCCATTTAGCATCCATTGGCGGCTGACGGTGAAACAGCCGTGTGGAAAAAGGGCTAATAATGTAGTCGACTATTGGACTTGGAAATGTTCTGTAAAACAGCTATTTAGGCCAAAACAAATGGCTTTACTGATTATTAATCAATCATGGAGTGCACTTTTTATAATTGCTTACTGCGTAACCTGGATCGAGAGCCATTAACTGGAGCCTGAATAATGCTTTAGAGCAGCTGCTTGTCTGATTAAAATTCCAAGTTATTCCGTTATTTTGTTAAATTTAGTATTAGAATTTAGAAGGGGGGAAAAGGCAAAACAATTAAATATGTATTTTCACAGAAATAAAAAGTTATATTGCAAATATTGTACTTAAACATGTTGATCCCATTCGTAGATAAATGGAGAGAATTTAATTAATTCATGGAGCGCATAAGTAAATTAATTAGAAAATAAAATTACGTGTTTTTTTCCTCGTAATTTGAAATTTTTCTGATAATGATACAACTTTATTTTCTGTTTTTTTCCTGTTCTTATTTTTCGATTTTATCCTCAAAACTTTTTATCTGTATTTTTTTTTTCTCAATGTGGCCCTAATACTGCATTCATATGAAATACTCTAAGTGTGGTCATGAGTTAATCAAGTTTTCTTAACTCGTTTTTTTTTCCTCTTCTCAGAGCTGCTGGAAAAAAATCGCAGGAAGGAGGAAGAAATGCGGAGCCTCCAGGTCAGCGTCCTGTGTCTCCACTCATCCATACATTTGCATCTGCCACAGTTTACACTTTTATTAGTTAGCTAGCCTAGCTTCACTAATACGACATCTGCTGTTGTTTTTGTTTTTCTGACGTCAGATTTTTTTTTTTTATTACTATCAATTTTATTCTAAAATTCCAAACCCAGTGGGACGGATTGAGTAAGTGTTAGCCTTAAGTTCGATGAGAGAATGCCACGAACATTCCTGCGTCACACAGACATGGAGCTTCACCGCTTCCCCGCAGCCGTGCTTTAACAAGTAGCTAATTACTGCGGACGTTGAAGTTTAAAAGCCACCGGGGGCAGTGTCTCTGCCTTTCAGAATTGCAGCATCTACACTTGGCCGTACACCAGCTCACCTAGTCTGGCCATTTTTACTCTACATTAAGCAGTGAAACACATGCGGGCGCACATTAAAATGTCTGCTAAGCATTTGTTTCAAAACTGTGCCATTCTGTGTGTGTGTGTGTTTGTAGGCCATTGCAGAGTCCCATCTGTGGCGGCGCCATGCCACCTGCCAGAGCTCGCGTGCAATTAATCAGCCCTCTCAGACCCAGCCGCGCTTTTAATTATGAAGAATGAGAGGCGAGGGTTGGAGAGAGCAAAGACAGATAGCGGCGCGTGTGAATACAGACTAAAAAAAAAAGGGGGCGGAAAGGGTTGGAATTGATGGAAAGAAAAACGATCAGGACAGGAGTGAGGAATGGAAAGATGCACAGGTGTGTGTGAGGGAGAGAGGCATCGCGTCATCGTTTATGTAGGCTGGACGGAGAGCAGGTCGTTGTCTTTTCTGTACGTCTGTTTAGAGCAGGGGTGTCAACCTCATTTCCACCAGGGGGCCACATCACCAATATAGTTCCCCTTGAAGGGCCGGTTGTAAATGAAAGACTGTGTAGCTCAGGGGTCCCCAACCCCTGGTTCATGGACCAGTACCAGTCCATAGGTCATTTGGTACTATCATGAAAGTTCAAACTATTATTTGTAATTTATATTATCATTACTACATTTTTAAAACCTGGACTTTGTCTCTTGACAACGTTCACATTCTGTGCATACAGAATCATGTTGATGTTTGTTTTTTTGTTTTTTTTTTCAGGACCGTGTTTTGGATGTCGAAATGGTAAGAAGTTGAAATATTTGTACGAAATGCACAACATGGAGTTATTTTCAATGTCATGCTTTCTCAGCCAAATCAAAATCAATGTGCCAAGGGCTACGTTTGTGAATCAGAGAAAACACATCACCACAAATGAAGCCATGGCGTCAGTCAACTCTCAGGGCACCGTCATAATCGTCATAAGTCTCGTCGACGGAGTGGAGGAAGCTGCCGTCCTGACAACGCGACATTGACCTCCGCGTCCGAACAGTTGATGTCGGCTACTAGCGTCCTTAATTAGCTATTAGATGTCACATGGCCAAAATTACTTAGTGCTGCCGAAAGCCCTATATTGATCCGAGTGCTTTTTATCTCCTGACAGAAAAGGAAATAAATGAAGCTGTCTGACACCAACTGTCCATCTTCTTCTATTACTTTACGCCTGACCGGCCCGGCCTTTAATTAGCCATTGTGCGAAAGAAAAGGAAATAACACTGACCACAGATCACGTCAAATCATTTCAGCTGACCACAGCAATACGGACGCAAGACGTATCGACCCATCCACAACTCGGCTGGAACGTACGGCTATGTGTGCGTATGTACGATCACGGGGGGGTGGGGGGTGGTGGGAGGGTGTTCATCGTAGCATCGCCTCATAATGACCACTGCTTTTGTTGTTTAAAGCTTCCACCCTGAATGGTAATGAAGGATTTGTTGTAACGTACTGCGGTCGGATAAATAGAGCGACGTGCTGTTAGAGTTGTCGGTCGATCGGCCTTCGTGATGGATGCGATGTAGCAAGAGAACGTCTTTTACTGAGGAGGGGGTGTGAGCACGCCAGTGGTTAACAAACGGTTTTCACAGTCAGTTAGAAAAAAAAATCTTCTCATCCACATTTAATCATCTTCTGCTCCATTTAATCCCACCCATTACCAATGTCCAGGTGTCCATGGTATACATAGCGGTATTAGGAGAACTAAAAAATTTCTTTTTAAAAAATCAACTAAAACATAAATGAGGCAAATCATATTTCAATAAAAATTCTATTTTTTTTTTTTAAATAAAGAGCACAAGAATGGCCTTAAACCACTTGGAGTCAATTCCTGAGAAACAGTGTCTGATGGAGGACTTCAAAGACTTGGAGGTGGGTCACCCGGATACATGGAATGATGGTTTTGTTTTTTGAATCTGATTGGATGCACCCACCACTTTATGCTGCAGGAGTCACAGCGGCAGATAGAGGTTGTGGAGCAGCGATACGCCAAATACAAGGAGGTAGTGTGGGACCTGCAGCACCAGCTGGACGAGTCGAAACGCAAAATACAAGAGTACAGGGTATGATATAAACACACACGCACACACACACTCAGTCGCACGCACACACTCGCATGTAGGCAATTTGCTTTTAAATGCTTTACATGAGTTTTATGTCCAAACAACAGCCCACACATTTGCTATTTTAGGAGCTAATTACACTGCCTTTTTCACAGAGCAGCCACTGCTGAGAGCCTCTTATCACCCACACTGGTGCCAGTGTCTGTGTCACAGATCATTTACAACTGCTAGACAAACATGACTGGTTCCACGTGTAGGTGAGGCTTCACTGAGATGCCACAGACGTCCAGTGCGGTCGACGTACAGCTGAATTTAACCGGTCACTGTCCTCGACTACAGTAGTCCGCAGCACTGAAAAGCAGACGAGGGAGAGACGAAGACATCACCGCTGACAGCTGGTTGCCGTTATTAGACGACAGCCTCCCCCAAAGCAGCTATACGCTCAGTTTTAAGTGATTTCATTCTGCCATATTACTCTGCTGGCCTGCCAAATGAATCCTGGGATAGCGCTGATATGCTGCTCGACCAGGGCTTTGTTTAAAGCGGTGGTTCTCAAATATTTTCCGTCACCTCCTACATTTCACGGGAAAAAAAATTCCCTCATAATTTTACAACATCTAACCAAAAATAACATGCTAAAAAAAATTCTCAAAATGGTTAATTCGATGAGAAACATACAGACAAGACAACATTTGTAACAAAAACATTTTCAAAAAATATAATTTTTCAACTTTTAACTTTTTTTTTTTTAAAGAAAAGTTAAATCTTCAGTACATCTGATGTCAACCTGGGTGCTCAAACTTGGATTCTGTAAAAAATAAAATAAAACAAATTCTCATATGCAGAAATAAATTTTGAGGTTTAAGTTTTTCCCAAAAACATTACATTTTTTAACACGTGCCCGAAAAGACAAACTAAATTAGTCAAAGTTTCCTATTTCACAAAAGGTTTGTATTTCACACAATCAAAAGTAAAGAACTAAAGATAATAACTTGGGTCACGTCTCATCCTGAAAAAAGTTTCTCACTTATTTACCCTTCTGTTATGTAAGTTAAGTTCGTAATTCCCACTCCACCAAACTTGTCTTGAAGGACGAAAAGATGGACGCCACATCCCGGAGCCTGAAGTTGGCTGCTCTTTGTTCCTCCATCAAAGGCACCAGTCCACTTCTTAGCAGCTCTCAGAAGTCTGACACACTGTGTGAGTATTTCTGCAGCTGTGAAATCTTTGTTCCAAAGAGTTTGGTGTTTTTCCTGCATTGTTTAATTAACTTTCAAATATGACGATTGATGTTTTTGAAACAACAGAATCACTCTCAAGATCATTTTCATGTCCTTTGCTCCACATTTGATCGTCTTTTTTTTACTGAATTGATTTAGTTTTAATTCAGTATTGTGTGACGTATTTTCCAAGTACGTATTTTAGGCCGCTACAGATACAGGAGAGTCGCTCTTTACTTCTTTTGTTCTTTGTTTTCTTCTCTATTTCTTTCTTTCTATCTTTGTTTCTCTCCTTTCTTTGTCACTTTCTTCCTTTGTTTCTTTCTTTTTCTCTTTTTCTTTCTTGCTTCTCTTCTTTTTCTTTTTCTCTGTTTATTTATAGAACTTTCAGCTTTTTTTCTATATTTTCCTTTCTATTTTATGCCCTTATTTATATCTCTCAGTCTGTCTTTCCTTATTCATTTTGTTCTGTCATTCATTCTTTATTTGTTTTTCTCTCTTTATTTTATCTTTATCTTATTATTGTGAAAAAAATGCAAAAAAATAAAAAGTCCCAGAAATGCCTCAAAATGCAAGATTATGTCCTAAAACATGCTGCCAAGTGAATAGTTTGTGTTTAAAACTCCAAAAAACTTCATTTCTGAAGATGTCAAAATAGCACCCAAAAGACTATAGTATTGCTTTACTACAGTCTTTGCCTTTTTGTACAATGACTTTTGTATTAATAAAGGTGCTAAATATAAGGAATCACAAAAACCAAAAAGACAATTTTGAGGTGTTTAGAACATTTCCCTGTTGTTTTTTGACTTGTAAATAACTTGTTCTTTTTTTTTTCTTCTCCTCCTCTTCCTCTGCTGAAGCTCCTCATAAACATTTGACCTCTTCGGCTTTGGACGACTCTGCAGTCAAAGGTGTTCAAACCCCTTAAAGATCAGCTCAACTAGAATGAGCTTTTTATTTTTTGATGCATCCATTCAAAACAAGGTCAGTCTGCTCCACAGACATGGTGCTGATTTAGGACAAAGGACAGCAAGACTCACTCACTCAATACTCATCCTCCTGCACTACCTCAAACCAAACACCGAACATGCTCTGGAGCAGAACGATTAGCCTGAGCCGTCGCACCGGGGACTGAGAAGTATTTTTTTAAGAAGGACTTATTTTTTGCACATTGTAAACAATAACCTAATGTTTTATTTATAAGATTTGTGCACTGTAATAAGTAGGTTTTAACCATCATGGATTGTCTATTTTGTGTTTTCCACTAGTCCAAAACATTTGAACTTGGATTTTTGAAATTGGTGTCTTTTGAAACGCGTGCATTTATACCAGGTGCTGTTTATCGTAACAATGTTCTTACTACTCTTGAAGAAATGAGGGAATTAGTCTTTGTTGGTTTTCCAGCACATATGAGTAAAAAAGAAAGATATGCAAAAGTATGTATTTTTTCTGTGAATTGAACCAAAGGTATATTCTTCTTGAATAAAAACGTATCTCAAAGGTTGTTTTTTTTAATAACCCTGCTTGAGGCATAGTGGTTCTTAAACTTTTTATACTCTGCACCACCTGAGAAAACCTTGATCTCTCTGAGTACCACCATGATGACCAACATTAGAATATACAGTAGCAGCATAGGCTTTCCCTATTAGCTTCCACCACACAGAAAAGATGTTTATAAATGTTTTAAAAAGTTGTTTATGTTTAAATGGTGTATTAATTGTGCATGGTATGTTTCAGATTTATTCAATTGAAAATGTAAATGTGAAAATATGAATTTTCCCCTTGTACCACTAGAGAGCGCTCATACCACAGTTTGAGAACCACTGGTCTGGGGTATACCACGCCCCTGGCATGAAGATACGTGGAATTGGCTGAAGCACCCCACGAACCTATAAAGGAATAAGCGGGTTATAATGGACGATAGATGGAGGTCTTTTAATTTACTGCCTGACTTCAGAATTGTAAAAACACACTGTTTATGTATTTGACATATATTTATAAACCTGTGTTTCACTGCAGTGCCTCAAATTATTATGACGGTACGTATTTCCATGTCTGGTTCTCTTCACTTTTTCCATTAATAGGGCACACCCACTCTCGCCTATCTGATTGGTTGGGAGTCAATTTAACGAACAAGTTCATGAACCATGACCAAAGAGATGGTCACTTTTACTGTTCATTTCTTCTTCTTCTTCTTGGTTAGAGGCCTGTCTTCTTAACATGGCTAACTGAACGGAGAGTTCTGATTAGTGGAAGGTGACGTGGTTCACAGGGCGATACAAAGAGCTAAGATCTGAGCCAGATTTGAATCCAACCATGAATTATTAAAGCAAAAGGAGAGCTACCAGCTACAGCGCCAATTTCTTATTTCTCGGCAGTAAAAGAAATGAAGATGCAGATGTCAGTTCCCAGAACTAAAATGCACCCTTGCTTTTATCACAGCAAGACGCAAACAATGAGTTGCTGCTTCCTGTAGTGTTTGTTGGTCATTTATTTGTAACATTTGATGCGACCAGTATTTGCAGCTTAAGTTGCAAATAAGAGTTGCTGGGATTTCTTTCTTTCTAGCTGCACTGACAATAGTGTGCAGTGATGTGTGTACCTACTCATTGACAAACTAATGAGCCTGCACTATCACTTGGTGGATCGCAGATGTCGTGCAGGACGCTTGTGATTGGATAACGAGGCGCAGCTGTTGTCGAGACGAGTGTAGCGTAGGAACACATTTTAGGATGAAATCTTGTCTGGTAATGCGGTCGGTTGTTCGGTTTAGATCCGCCAACAACGAGGTCCGGCCATTAGGTTCTCTGCACGATTCGCCCTCCGGTGGCTCAAACGTGCAACTTCACACATCGACGTTTTGGTCGGACCTAGTTGTTGGAGGAGCTGAGCAGAACAACCATTCCTACGATACACTGCACTCATGGAACATGAATAAAAAAGATTTTGAAAGAAGAAAAGTGAATTTAAAAAATAAAATAACGATATAAATTCATGCAACGTTTTCACATGCATCAACATTTTAGTGACTTTGCTAAAAAACTTTTTTTTTTACTACAGAACGAGTGTTTAAACAAAGTGCGTTCTTTTCGCTGGTCTTCTATCGAAAGATATCTATTTTATTCATGTTCCACGAGGGCAGTTTAGCGTAGGAACACATTTTAGGATGAAATCTTGTCTGGTAATGCGGTCGGTTGTTCGGTTTAGATCCGCCAACAACGAGGTCCGGCCATTAGGTTCTCTGCACGATTCGCCCTCCCGGGGCCCCAACGTGCAACTGCATATATAAACTAGTTCCCTCCAAAGGGTTGTCTGCTCCATGTGTGAATGAATATTTAAGGAACCAGGTTTACGCCCTCCGGTGGCTCAAACGTGCAACTTCACACATCGACGTTTTGGTCGGACCTCGTTGTTGGAGGAGCTGAGCAGAACAACCATTCCTACGATACACTGCACTCATGGAACATGAATAAAAAAGATTTTGACAGAAGAAAAGCGAATTTAAAAAATAAAATAACGATATAAATTCATGCAACGTTTTCACATGCATCAACATTCTAGTGACTTTGCTAAAAAACTTTTTTTTACTACAGAACGAGTGTTTAAACAAAGTGCGTTCTTTTCGCTGGTCTTCTATCGAAAGATATCTATTTTATTCATGTTCCACGAGGGCAGTTTAGCGTAGGAACACATTTTAGGATTAAATCTTGTCTGGTAATGCGGTCGGTTGTTCGGTTTAGCTCCACCAACGAGGGCCGGCCAAAACGTCGATGGGTGAGGATGCACGTTTGAGCCACAAGAGGGTGAACAACCATTTCTACGATACACTGCACTCATGGAACATGAATAAAAAAGATTTTGACAGAAGAAAAGTGAATTTAAAAAATAAAATAACGATATAAATTCATGCAACGTTTTCACATGCATCAACATTTTAGTGACTTTGCTAAAAAACTTTTTTTTACTACAGAACGAGTGTTTAAACAAAGTGCGTTCTTTTCGCTGGTCTTCTATCGAAAGATATCTATTTT